GCATTGGTCTTATCAACACCCTCAGCGGGATTCGAACCGCGACAGTGTCAAGCTACCGTCCTGCACTGTCACGATTTGAATCCCGCTGAGGGTGTTGATAAGACCAATGCGAGGTCGAAACTGCAGTCCACTTCCGTCCACTGTCGCTGTTCGAATCTTTCTGAGGGTGTTGATAAGACCAATTCGAGGTCGAAACTGCAGTCCACTCAGGATGAGAACAACTTTTGGGAAAGCAAGGCTATGATTCAATGGAAACGTCAGCTCAACTCATATCATTGTGGGAAAATTCTACTACCAGTCCTTCATCACCTTACACGAAATAGGGTGAATACATCTCATCACACTGATAAGCATTGTGGGAAAATTCTACTACCAGTCCTTCATCACCTTACACGAAATAGGGTGAATACATCTCATTACACTGTGGGAAAATTCTACTACCAGTCCTTCATCACCTTAGACGAAATAGGGTGAATACATCTCATTAAACTACATCTCATAGCGAAATCAAGTGTTTGCTCCTATCAATTACTATTGGAGGCACAATATGTACTATTAATTACCTTATTGATTATGTTAATGATTAGTAAATTGCCTAAATTCTTGCCTTTTATGATCTCGGTATATAAAGCCTTCATCGGAACAGTAGTGTACCTAAATATTGCATCAAATCACGCAATGAGGCGAGTAGGTTTCACATTTTCACTAAGCTTCACTTAGTCCAAATGGTAGCTAAACATGTTACTCTCTCCTGGGAGAGAATAGTTTGTGTAATTCAATGGAAACGTGAGACCGCCGTTTATGATTGTGGTATCTACTAACACTCTCGAAACCCACCTTCTCTGAATCATATACCTTATTTATCCACCCACTTGGCTTGTTTTAACTGTTCGCTCAGCCGCTGGATTCGGCCTCACCAACCGCCTACTCGACTCCGCTTTCGACCTACCAGACCCCTTCGACAACACCACCTGCCAACTTGACGCCTCTTCTGCCGTGTCCTCCTGTCTCTTCCACTGCTTTACATCTCGAGCCGTCAACTTGGTCGTCCGATCATCCCATGCTGGTCTCATCTTCACTTCAGCCTGCGTCCACCTCCAATCGGGAGGCTGAACAGACTTCAAACCGTTCCGGAGCTGAGGGAGGATGTGCTCCCCTCGAGGGCCTTGTCCAGTCTTCCGACCTGAATCGAACCAGTTCGCCCAGTT